CCCCAAAACCCCAAAACCCCAAAACCCCAAAACCCCAAAACCCCAAAACCCCTCAATTTATTTTAAAATTGACAACTTGTATTAGGAGAGTAGAGATGGATTGTCTTCTTAATGTTCACTAGCTTTGGCTGATGCCCATGTCACGAGGAGTGCACTCTTGCATTCCTTGATGCTGACTTCTTATGCAATCTCCAAGCATCGATGAAATTAAGCTGGTTCCGGCATTTTGATAGTCTTTTCTTCCTTGGCTTGCCCAAGGAAGAAAGATAGCTGATTTCAAATTTACTGACCTTGAGATAATTTCTATTATTTTGAGCTTCAAGAAGCATGGTTATGTAGGAGTCAAATTTGATCCCATGAATCGATTTGAAACCTCTGAAGTACTCAGCACCTATTATAGTAAATTTGACAAATTTACTAAATTTTAGGATGAATTTCTGGTCATTTTTAAGACTTTTGTCGTCTTTGGCTAACTTCGTGAGCAGTTGATCAATCTTGGTCTAAAGTTTAGTAAAAATTTACCAAGCTTGCTTGGATCACTGGGGTTGGACTCTTCTTCCACTTTTTGTAAAGAATGTATTTATGGTTCTTGAGGAGGAAAATTAAAAACCAAACTCTTCGAAGAACTTCTTTCCTATCTGCTCCAGGATCTCTCTTAGCTCTAGTCTTGGAGTACGAGGAGAATAAGGGTTTCACTCGTTTAGATTTCTAAGATATATTAGGCTGAATAATACCTGTGAAATTTTAGACAGCCTCGCTATTTGAAGAGTTTGCTGTGGCCTGGTCTTTACTCCCTTGCGTAACTTAGAACTGGGCCTTGAGGGTTTGGGCTTGCCAGACTCGATCGAAACTGAATCTGAAACACTCATAGATCCTGATTTTCTATATGAGTTCTCAAGGCTATTGATGTTAGATGAAAAATACTCTGATCCCTCTTTTATATGTGAGAGTTGGGCAACATTTAGCAAGGGGGGATTTACTTGTGAATTTCTCCCGATCCCTGAAATATTAAGGGCTTGTTTACGAAGCCTTAGAGCTGAACTTGTATTAGAAGAGTACACCATAGAGCTCATTCGTTTACGGAAAGGGAGAATAAACTTGTTCTCTTTCACTTCTACAGGGTTAGCGTATTTAACTAACCTTGGCTTTGCAATAATACGCTTTTTCTTTGGGATACTTTACTGTAAGTTCTCTCAAGCAGGGAGGTTGAGGATTGCCTCTTTTTCTTTCTACTAAAGGCCTTAAACTTGCTGGTCCCTGAGTCTTTAAGTGAACTGTAGAATTTCTTTGACTCGTTAATAGATTCCTAGTCATTAAAATTTAGGTTTACTTTAAGAGTACAGGCGTCTTTTAGAATTTGGTTATATATGATATCTTTCCTGAGTGAAACAGTATTTCTTTTGTTAAATTTCTTATTACGAGTCTTCAGAATGATCTTTTTGGGCTATGAATTATGATTTGACGAAATCTCACCTTGTACTTGATAACTGGGGCTGCTAAGGCATTTTCATCTTGTGTCCTATATTAACATTAGGCTGACATATCAAGCATTTCCATATTTCGATGATGACTTATAAAAATGCCTAGTAAGACCTACAGTTTGACATGGTTTAGCACATGTGGCCTAATAATTACATACTAAAGTTACCTATTCTCTGCACTGAAATCAACATGTTCAATAGTGACTGCAGGGTTATCATATGATGGGGGTTCTCGAGAATCAGTGTTATGTCTTCCTGAAGATTCCTTATTTTCTATATAATTATTGAGCAAATTTACATAAGTGTTGCGAACACATCGTTCCACTTTGAGTCGCTGTCTTTGCTATAAGATGGATTAGCTGTTGCACAGAAGTAAATTAATCAAATACTCCTTGGAGAATTTGGCAAGCAAACGACTCCAAAAAAAATTCGAGCATCTTCCTACCTCTCAAAGAAAATGTTGGAAGAATTCTTCATGGGGCACAACTCCAGGAAGGAGTTCTTAGCATCCTCATAATTTTGAATGGAATCTTTGCTCAGATTTGCTGGCATCAAATGGTATTTCCTCTTATGATCATTATTCGAAGCCTGGGTTGGCTCTCTCTTATTTTTGATAGAGGCAATCTGTTTGAAAAGCCTAGCTTCATCATCGATGATGAAGTCATTAGCACGCAAGAAGCTGTGAGCTTCTTGCGTGCTGGTCTTCATCTTTGGAGATGATATATTTTCAAGCTCATACTCTATTGACGGAAAGCCTAGAGAGGTTAGATAGAGACCACTTACGGTTCCTTTGCTTCATTAATTTTTATCCTATATTCAATATTATTACAGTATTTGGGGTTTTGGGGTTTTGGGGTTTTGGGG